CGCATTTATGGTATTCTGAATTTATTGTCTCTAGTTCATCTCCAAACTGTCTATAGCCTTGGGTTCACAAGAAGTTGTAGATGGATTAAAGCCATGCAAACACTGTCTCCCTTCACTGGGGAAAAAGCTTGGAGTATGGAGAACTCCCTTGGGAAATTATAACTATATTTTTAACAATTCTGATACACTTCCTGAGACATTTGCACTGGTCAGTCTAGGGCAGCAATAAGGACTTCTGTCCCATCCACTGAGTCAGCTGGACTTTTGGTACAATCATACATTCTTAGGCACTTTAATAGTTGAAAACAATCTGACACACATGATAAATTGTAGGACTAACAATTTAATTATTTGTCAGTATGTTTTCCCTACCCTGCCTGGATACTGAGAACAACTCTTTTTAGGTTTGTACAGGCTATCATTTCAAAACTACTTTCACATACAAATTAGAAAACCCCCTGCCTATCTAGGGAGGTTGTTCTTTCCTCTCCCCTCTCTCAGGCAAATCTGTTGTATATGCTTACTTGATCACTACACCAAAAGACGATGCAGGAAATTGTCTGGTCTGAGAACCTTTCCTTTTGGGAGCACTTTGTTAGCACAAATCAATAGCCAGATCTGAACAAGCCAATATATTGTGCTGAGTAAATTCTGACTGGCCTAACCTTGGGGTGGAGAAGGGGTTAATAGGAGTGGGTGTCTGACATCGGGTCTGGGGGACCTGCACCTTGGCCAGAGCCACCGAGGGTGAGTCAGTGTAACTGACCATTCCCTTAGAAGCTGACACATCTTTCAAGAGCATGATGTGTCTTCAGCATATTAATAACCAGCCTAATACTCTGGCAGTGATACTGTCATTTGAAGTGAAGACGGATGGATAAGGTGCTTTGCCAAAAAGTTTATTTGTCTTTTACAAAATTTCTTGCAACCTTTAACAGAAATTTCTAGTCTATGTTGGCTTTTTGTTGTATTTTATGATTTTTTTTAATCACACTTTCCTAAGAAACAAAAACCCCATTCTTCTGTCTCACATATAAGCTACCTCACAGAAAATTAGAGATCCACCTCTACCTGAAAGAAATGTTTCTTTTGATTGTTAGTAAGAATAATCTTATGCCAATAATAAAAATTCTTGGTAGTACAGAGATGAATAACTGTCATGATGGTGCTTTATTTCTTTCTCTGCTTTTTAATTGAATAGTATTCATAGAAATTAAAATTATTTTCAGTTTGATAAAGGCCTTTTTAGGCATTGTTGTCAATGTTGAAGTGTTTGCACTTCTTTACTATTTACAGATCTTTATTTCCAGCATTGTGTTTTCTCAGCTCTTTTCCAAACTCACAACTGAGGCCAGCTGTATCCACAAAAATAAACAAAACCAACAAACAAACAAAAAGAAACCCACTTTCTTTTTATAGCAACAATTACTAGTAAAAACCTACAGACAAACAGCTTTTAAATAATAGAATATGTCTATAAAGGTAAAACTAACCCTGAAAAAATGAACAAGATTATCAGTCATGACTATTATAGAAAAAAAATGAAACTAAAAGCAAATTAAGCCTGAAAGAATTAAACTTCTCTGTGTTTTGTGAAAATGCCCTATCGTTTCTGTATGTTGACAATATGCATTGTTAAAGACTAAAAAGTCCCTTCCAGAATAATCTTTTACTATGTCCACTGCTTTGCCAGACAATATTAAATGTTCATTCTTTTCCAATTATTGAAGATAAATATTAGTGATAAGACTTGAACTAGAAAAAAATAATTGCAATAAAAAAAGGGTTCTTGAGAGATATTTTCGTATCTTCTAAAGGATTCTGAAACTGATATTAATTCCATTGCCTGTGGAAGACCATTGTCATTACTTGTACTTCTATTATCTTTGCTTTTAATTTACATCTCTAGGAAAGTGATCTTTGCTTTCTTTGGGATCATAATTATGATTAGACTTTCCTTCTTTCATGGTAGACAATGTCCTTGCCACTCCCCTTGAAGTTTTTTTTCTAATATGCAATTGTTTTGTGATACCAGCAATCTTATTTTTTCAGTTACTATATTCCATTATAAAGTAAGTTCTGTGCAAACATTTTAGCATTCATAAAAGCTGCTAGTCAGCAGAGCAAAAGAGTGGAGGCTTGTCCATTCACTAAAAATAGACATAGAGATTTTTCAAAAATTCTCATTGTCTTCATGGATACCACAATAACTGTGAGTTAGATCCAATACAAGTACTTAAATATCAGGCACAGAAACCATAGTGCAGATTTCCAGAGTGAAATTTGAAAAGGTTTTCCATAAAAATGTGAAAAATGTCAATCTGTTCATATTCTAGAGACAGCAGTGGTGTACTGCACAATTTCACCCGGTTGTTTTTTTCAGAAGGATCCTTCATAAAGCTACAGATGAAATTGCTGCTCAGAGTAGAAGGCATTTTGATACAGAAATGGCTCTTTATATGTAGGCAGAGAAAACCCCATAATCAAAAATTTGGTTCTAATTTCACGGAACAAACTAACATTCTAACACCCAGAAATCTCCAGATCTATTTGCATAGATTGTCCTTTTTTGGGTCCAGCCCTAACAGCAGCAACATGGAAAAAAAAATCACCAATGCAGTGTCTTGTTTTGTTTTGCTTTGTTTTGTTTTAGAAAGCTTTTCTTCTGGAAGTGTTATTTATGGACCATGTAAATGACAGCACAAATTAGTTAAGAAAAGCTGCTTGGAGAGATCTGCACCTTGTGCTCAGGGGAACAGATTGTGATGTTTGTGAGAGTGCTACCTGCAGGAGCTCACCTGAGCCCTCAGCTCACCTGCCAGGGCTTTGCCTTCTGCACTCACGAGCTTTAGCGCTGGGACAGAATTTTGCTGTGCCTAAGCAAAAAAGCTACACCACAGGGCTCTCAGAAAAGTGTTTAGCCTTAGACCCTTAAGGCAATTAAGCTCTTTTTTTTGTTTTTACAGTTTTAAGAGAAGTCTGCAGAGAGACAGGAACACCTCTGAGGGGCTGAGAGGTGCCTGTCACTCAGGAGACGCGCACAGTACTCTGCACTGGTGTTTCCAAGGGACCCGTGGCTTCAGGCCACATATGTTGTATTTCTGTAGCCCAGTAAAAGAGGTGACAAAATCAAGTATAAACAGGATCCTGGCTGCCAGGATGAAATGGAGACCTCCAGTCACCTAGAGATGGTAAGTTATTTGAGGATGTTGCTATGTGAAAGCTTATGGCGTTACTTATGACTATCTTCAGCAGACCTGGTCAAGAGAAAGCATTGTGCAGGGAGAGAAGGATGAGAATGCTTATACTCTAAAAGACAGAGGGAGAATCTTGAGCACACATCCAGGAAGTGGAAAAGCCCAATCAAAATTTGTTTTATTGTTCAGACAGGTGAAACGTGTTTGCATTTGGGCCTTTTCTCATCTGTGTGTCTCCGTTATCCTGTAAGATACCAGATCTGGAGAAATCATCAGCTCCTTATCTGTTTCCTTTAAACCAAAGATAGAAGACTCTCTCAGGATTCATGTCCACAGCCAGGCTGTGAGCTTTGAATAGTGAGGAAAACATTCCCAGCCAGCAGTTAGATACTCAGCTCCTAGGATAGAGCAATTTTAGGTCCAAACAACCATATCATCACTTCCAATTGCTTACAATTTAAACAGCCTTCAGCTTGTTTAGGTGACGTCTCTAAATTCTGTTTCTACAGCTTTGTGTCCCAGTGCAATAGCGGTAAGGACTATGTCACTGATTTCCAAAGAAGGGATTGCAATGCTGAGCATGGTGCTGTCCACAGTGGTTTTATGGATTATGCCTTCCTAGCCATGAAGCAGCAGCACTTTCAGCTTAGCCCCTACACTGGCCTGTGGTGAGAAGACACATTGCACCCATGTACAACTTGCCAACAATGTGCTAGAGCTTCAGACCCTGTGCACCTTCTGCAAAATTAAAAATGCACCTATGTCTATAGGAAAAGAGACAGAGTGATGCTGAAAGTTTTACCATTCTTACAGGTGAATTAAAGAGATGGAGTATTTTCTTACACTATAAGTTTTCCTAACATGAGGAGTCATCAATAGAAAGATAAATTGGTCCTGATCTTAAAACCTAATAATTCCTTGGATTGCAGATTGAGGCTGACAGAATGTTTCATTAAATAGAAGCCTAATCCAGTTCAAATTAACTTCAGAGAAAACTGGATTGTAATCTCAGAAGCAACTGAGGTGATAGATTCCTCAATATGGGCATTTACCTCTTGAGAATTTGATGGATACCAAATTCAGTTCACATAGGGCTGGTTACACATCCTACTATTCTCAAGCTTTGCTCAATATGGAAAAAAAAATTACACCCTAGTTTTGAAAAGCTTTACATTCTATCATCAGTAATTCCAGCCTTCTAATACATTTGCATTTTGATTTAATAGAAGTTAAATGTAAGTTTTATGTTTCAGAAAAACTATTTCAATATCTGTAAAGATTATAATATAAATCCTATTTCCTTAACTTGTCTGTTTTAAAAATTCTATGATAACTAAGTAATTTTTTCAGAAGATTATGAGGCAGTCCTTTCTTTAAGGGTCTCTGCTGGCTTCAGGTAAAATGCTTGACAGTACCTCATCATTATTTCTCACTAAATATACTTTCCATATTATTATTCCTGAACTTTATTTCTGTCCAGACATACATATAATTCCTTGGCATTAACAGAAGTCCCAGAAAGCATGACAAGGATATAAATAATATTTCTATAATTCTATTTTTATATAAAAAAAATTCAGATTTTCTCAGTAATAATGAAATAGTCAGGAATTCTTACAGACCAACAAAAAGCTCAGCAAATATTATTATTTGTGTTTTGCATTTAATGAATTTGTTAGAGCACAACTAAAAAGGTTAGTAGACTGCCATGTAACTATTGACAGAATTCATACCACAGATACACAGTTAATTCTTAAAATGATTACAAAATATTTTCCCTCTATTATTAAACAACTGACCAACCTTTTTTCAGGGAAGGTTCCACTTCACCTAAACCAAGAGAAAAAAACAGATATCAGAGAAAAGATTAAAAAAAAAAACAAAAAAAAAACCAAAACCAAACCAAACCAAAAACCAAAAATCAAAAACCAAAACCAACCAAATAAAACAAACAAGAAAAAAAAACACAAAACAAACATAAAAACAAAAAACACCAAAAAAAGCAACTCACATTCCTTTTCATGTTGGATCATTTTTTTCAAAAAATCATTTTTTTTTATATGCTAAATGACAAGTATCTATTCTGAGATTTTTGATTTTTCATAAAAAAAAAATCTATCTTGACATAGAGCTTTGGGAAGATAAATTAGTTACTTAGCAGTAGCTAAGGAAGTATCCACATCTCTAGCTGTGCTTCTGAAAATTAAGTTGTGACTACAATTAAAAATATGCTTTACTTTATGCATGTTTTCACTTTTTAAGGAAAGGCTCATTGGTTCTTTTTAAATTCCAAATAAAGTATATACGAAATTTAGCAAGATTGTAAATCTAGCAATGCTTCCAGTTAAACTCAAGGCAAAAAATAATCCATTTTACTTTAACTATAAGCACTTGATTTTGGCAATATGTAATCGCACCTCCATATAGGGCACAGAATTTGAAGAAGTGATCCTGAATGAGTGGCTAGTGTGCAGCCTCAGCTGCTCTGACTACAGCACAGAGTGGGCACGGTGCTCAAAACACTTAATTTTTATGATATACTGCAGTAAGATGCCTTACTGCCTATTCACACTCCTGGTTGATGAAGAAATTCCACTTGGGTGAAATACTGCCAGAGTTAAGGTTTCCAAATCTAGTGAACATCAGATCTTGCTTTTTGTCTCTCAGGTATTTTATGACTTTTCCTACTGCCATTAACACCTAGACATTCGAGTGTTTGGAAGTTTGCACATGCTTTGGGAGCTATGAAATGCTAAAAATGCACACTGATCAAATTTTAGCAAGCTCTCTATATTTCATCTTTTCTGTTTGTCAACCTTTGGAGAGACTGGCTTTCTGCTAGTTATAAATCATATCTCAGAGTAGGATGCCCAATTCACAGAGTCACACAAAGCAGCCTATCTATTAGCATTCAGATACGGTGTTATATAAAAAGCTCATGCTTTTTATATATGTTTATATATATGCTCACATATTTAAAAGGTAAACACTTTGTAATATCGCTCAGGTTTCTGAACAAACGAGTAGAAGTCAGTTTCAGTACATGTAGCTTTTTAATTATATTCTGGTGTAGCCAAATGGAATATAAAATAAACTACCGTGAAATGAAGATGTCACTCCTACACTTATCGCTTGTCAGAATGACCAATATGATGTGACATGATGATCCACTACTGACTGTGAGCAATCTCTGCTCATACTGGGAAACTAGAGTTAATTTTTTTTGTTTTTGTCTTTTGTTTTTTATTAAAAGAAGGAGAGTAATCAAAATATTAGTAATTTGCTTTCATTTATCTGATTATCTCAGATGAAGAATGGTACTGTAACAGCAGAACTATAATTTCTAGTAAACTGAATTTTTTGCAATACACCATCCAAAATCCTGTAAGTTCAATTGAAATGTCATATATTTTTTTTCTTTTCAATATATTGCCCGTTATCATTATGTCAAATTAAAAAATGTTCTAAATTTCTTGAAGAATCTTGCATATTTTCCAGGGTTCTTTAGATTCTTGGATTAAAAGAAAATAGTTATTTCCATTCTCTGAAGCAATATCCTATTGCATATTTTGGCTGTAGCTTTGAAGTTGTATATAAATTAGTGCTCTTCTCTTCAAGATGTAATAATGGTAATATTTAATTCCGAGAGTTTTTCTGTAATAGTACATTAAACATGAGATGAAAGCTAACAAAGAGACCATTTTACTGACTGGAGTAGCCGCTGGATGCTTTATTAGCAACAATGTTCATTTCCCTTTTGTTTGACCTTCTTGTCTGTGAGGTTAAAAGCTGAGTAAGCCATTTTAATGCGTGTAAAACAGCAGTTAGAGCGGTTACAGAAGTCTTTACGTTACAAATACCTTCATCACTGTCATCATCATCACTCCATACGATGTCAGACAGTAAAGAAAAAAAGCCATAAATCCAATCAGAAGACTCTTCCAGTGTCTCATGAATGATTCTCAGTGGTTCTGTGCTGAGCTTGTGAACAGATCTTCCTGAGTGCAGAGTTTAAAACAAAAGCGATTTGAAAAACGAACCCAAACCAAACAACTGCTTCAGTAATAAAAGTTAATCTTCATTTTATACAGGACTAATTATACTACCTCTTTCAGCAGATACAAGGATTGTGAATGTTAATTTTTATTATTCAAGCATTTGAGGACAGCTCTCCTTCCTGCGGAAGACTGGTACAAACTGTATCTTACTGCACTTGCTGTTCACAGAGTAATTAAGGACCCAGTGTTTAATTTGGTCTGATGTTGTTCTCCAAGCTCTGGCTCTCCTTCTGAGGTTTGGTTGGGAAAAATATAAGTATAGATGTCTTTCTAATATTCTTAATTTTAGATAAATTCTTCATTTCAGCCCAGTTTTTAATCTGACTCAGACCTCCTGCCTCTTGATGCCCATCTAGGATTCAGTCCCACTCATGTCATATCTCCCCACTGAGATCCTTCTTTCACGCAAGTATTGGCTGAATAAATTGCTGAGCCTTGGATTAACTACAAAGACAGGTCATGTCATTGTCGTGGACCACACATACAGGATGGGAAGAAGAAAGCTGTGCATACACAAGCTGAAATTAACCTGAGTTCATAATAAACAGGGATGCAAATCCAGATAGTGGCACAGAGACAGCTGCTTTCAAACACATTCTCCTGTGGTTCTGGTTCCTCTTTCACAACTTTTCTAGAATTTCTTTCAGATACACTTGTGCACATGTGCATACTTAACTTGTTCTGGTCTTACTGCCCCTGTAGACAAGCAAATTGGGGAACAAGGGAGCTGTGCAGTGTCATGTCCTTCACTTTCCTGGAACCTCTGATGGAAGTGAGACTTCTTCTCCACACTGTATCCACACTCAGGCAGTGCAGCCATCAGTGGGTAATACTAGTATTCCCTTAAAGGCTTCTCCACTTGGGATTTCACCAGATTTCTCTGTACCTGACACACTACTTCAGAGGGACTTTCCAGCCTCTGACAGCTTTTCTTCTGTCTATTCTGTACAGCAATTTCCTATTTTCTTGAACTTTATACCAAACATTGCTTAGGAGGAGGGACAACCCTCATTCAGTCTATGTTACTGCCCACTGTACTTGAAACTGCAGACTGATTGCCTGGTCTGTGCAAAGCTTTTCTACAGATATAAACCACTGAATTTAGACTATAAATGTGATCTGAACTTTTGGCCTAGTCTTGTTCCTAAGACTTTCGATAGAAATAGGTACGCTGAGTTTAATAGTATCAAGGTGGGAACCATACCTCGGTTTCACATTGTCTTTCTGCAGGTAAATATTTTAGCAGGAGGCTAAAGACAAGTCTCTTCAGAACTACTTCTGATTGCAGTGTTCTGATTCACAAACCAAATCAGCATTAATCAGAAACAGTCTCACATGGACTTTCAGGCTAAAAATCATGCAAGGTGCCAGCTTAAAGGAACATTTTCAGTGACAGCAGTATGAACAGTTATTTTATAAAAGTGTTGTAATGAAACTTAGATGTAGCTTTATTTGAAATAGAAATCCATTACTAAATAGCTCATTTTATTTCTAATTAATTATTCTGAAACACAAGAGACCAGGCTGACTTCTTATTGGTTTGCACCTGCTTTTGCAAATGCAGACAAAAGAAATATTGTTGTTAATATTTTGTAAATATTGTATTTTATAGGTATATGCTGCTGAACAATCTGACACATCAAATAAATTAAAGATGTGTCATGATGCAATGACATAATTGCAAAGAAATTAATTTAGTGTACTACTGTGCACACCATTTTATTCAGAAAGATTGAGTAGTAAACCAACAAATATCTACTTTGTTTAGCATGACACTTATTTGTTTGCATTGTATTAATGCATTGGGTTGTAGAGATTTAATTTTTTCAAGTGATTTGCCACAAGTTGTCTTCTCAAGCGTTAACCAGGATAACATATACCTCTACTTAGGCTCTTAAAAAGTAAATTTGTGACCTGACCCCTGATGCCATTTGCACTTTTTTCTAATCTAGAAGTGCTAAGGAGTCAAAGTGGACTGATAGAATGGACATGGCCAGAGGTGTCTTAGAATAATCAAGATTTCGATTCACAAGCAGGGATGGTTTAACTTTGGACAGCTGCCTCGATTTTCAGTGTGGCTGTCCACCCTCCTTTTACCCACTGGTTGCTCAGGGAAGGCTCAGTTGCTTTTACAGCCACAGGTTTTTACAGCCACAGGGACTACAGCTGTAAACTAGACAAGAACTGGTATCAATTTATTTTAACATACTGGTCTATCAACTAGAAGTTCAAGACCTGCTTCTGCTTCACAGGTAGCAGAGCTGTCCCCCCTGGGCAGGCAAGGGAAACGCTCAGAGAAGTGCAAGATCAAGAGCAGAGGAAATTATTCCAACCACCCCAAGGCAAGCCATCTTTGCTGATGAATCAGTCTTCAACATCATATCCTGGTCTTTAATTCATAACATCTTCATACCACACTATGAAAAGGGATTAGAAACGATAAGTGTCCAGAGGCAAAATTGTGTGTTCAGTCATGCCTATGCTAACAGGCCCAAGTTGCAAATCCTGTTTGATGTAGAAAGTTAAATCAGTTTGGAGCTGCGCAGAGGACACTTTATTGGTGTTTGCAAAATTAAATTTTGTATTCAAACATACTGTGAGCTCACTTGAGATCTGAAACAAGTGGCACAGACATGGGAAATCATATCCTTTTGCACAGACCTTCTGTTTAACTTGTGTTGCATTTCCAAAATTTTTTAACAGTAGTGCTAATAGCAATGATGTGTTCTAGAATTCTTAAGAACACCTCACAGAGTAATGTTGAAGTGAAAATTATGACTGATTAAATCCATGCTTTTAGTTCTCCCTACAACTTTGACGATACCAGGTGCTACGAGGTCTGTAGCAGAATGAAATACACTAAAAACAAATGAAATTAAACAATTCTGGTGTTAACAAATACAGAGAAAGATTCAATTTACCTCACACACATGCAAAGGAAGACAACCATTTCCACAAGACTTGCATACTCTTGCTTTAAAAGCAAAGCTGAAAGAATTCAGATTTTCATAACAAAATTTGAACTTGATATTTTTTAATTTAGAGATGTTCAGCAGTTGAAAAACATGATGAGATTTTCTTGGTCATCTTGTAGTCAACATATTCAACTGGATTATCGGTCTTCTATCCAGTTTGTAATTTCTTAGCAAATCTTAGAAGACTAATTATTTTAAAAGTGAGCTCACAATATATTTCTTTTGATAACATATGGTGCATAATATAGAATTTTAACTAATCTGTAGCTGTAACTAATATAATTATAGACTAATATAATTAATCCAAGCTGTAATTAATACATCATCATATAAAATCCATTGCTCTGGAAATAGAGTGCGCAGGACTTTGAATTTAAATTTTAAAGAGCCTTTATCTATACAGAATACTTCTCAGATAGATACAGATGTGTGAAGTTTTACCTTTGTTTTACTTTTAGATAAGGATTGAGCAAATTTTTTGTCTTAGATAAAATAGTAAATAATTAATAAATGCTTGTTGAAGGAGGGGAAGTAAATGGTTCCTGAGAAGGTTAAGTTCAGACATTGAACATACAATTGATACTGAAGAATTTAGTTGACACTAGGCAATTACCTTTAATCACAGTTTAATTTCAGATTATCCTATTTAGTGAAATATACCTGAAAGGGTACTGAATCCCTGGTGGTTCCTAAACTCCCTCAAAAGCCAGTGCAGAAAGACATATTGTGACCTTCAGAAGGCAAGTCTCTCTTTTTCCCCTGAAATCTGTTTAAGGGTTACATGAACTAATTTCCAGAGATACTCACTCCTTCCGTTGACTAAAAAAGAAGTCTGAAGAATTAGCATGGACATGTCACCTTATTTTCATATTACTGAGGTATGTGACATGGATCCTGCTAGTGATGCTGTTTCAGATTTAAATCCTTCTTGTTATTGTACACTTTGGCTAAGCACTTAGATTTGTAGCTTTACATTCATAATTAATTTCAGGTCTATACAACTATTCTCCTTGATAAATTACTTACATTCCAGAGCAGCACTGATTCCACAAAAATGCTTTGCTAGAACACTTTGTTTGTCAAAGGCTTTTATTACTTGGCACAGTATAAAAGATGCTTTTCAGATCAGTAAAAGTTCGTCTTTTTTTGTGCTGGGATGTTCATTGCTATGAGAACAGTACCAGTTTTGTTGTTTTCTTTTTGGAGGAAACATCAGAATTCCAGAACCTTCTGGAAAATGCGGAAATTTGGAAGAGTTAAAGCAGACAGAGGAAGAATTCCAATCAAATGGGAGGAATTTGTATATTATCTTACAAAGAAACCTTATTGTAGGACAACTCAATTGAATTTGATTGGAGAATATTTGTTAGCTGTTGGAGATATCTGGAAGATTATTTGGATTTTCTATACTAAACATATGCAAATATCTTTAAAATAATTATTTAGGAAGTCGTTTCAGATGTGTTGTAGGTATTAAATACTTCTTAAAAATCCCTATGTAATTTGAAGCAGCACATTAAGTGTTACAATTCCTTGTAGTTCTCTAGCATTACTAATACAGAAACAGTAATTTGATTAAAAATGTGAGAACAACAATTCTGAACAATTCATTTCTTCATTTCTGAAGTCTTCCTGGCTCACAATCTTAATTTTAAATGCAAATTTCTAACCTTAATGGTAATTAATAACTCACACTTAACACAGCTACTTGAAACCAGGCAATGGCAAAGTTCTCAAGTCCTGCAATTGGCATTAGGTATGTTCTTGTTAACAAGAAGAGAGAATGTAATTTTCATAATGTGACAAATTATTTTTTAACAGAAAACCTTTTTTTTTTTTCAATCAGGACTGATAATGGGTACTTTAAAAGTGATTTTTGGATACAAAAATTGAGTAATCACATAGTATGATTTGCTGTAGCCTCTAGAGCAAATTTAGTTAAGTTTAATAGTCTGTACCATTTATTCCTGTGAAGTGTACAACAAAAAGTGACTAATTGATTATCTGTGCAAATCACTTCAGTCATTATTCAAGTCTTAGTAACTCTGACAGAAATGTAACTTCCTATCAATCTTTTTTAGCTTGTCAAATAGTTAAATGTTTACTCAGAGTTGAACCTATGTTAAGGCAGCTTTTTTTTTTTTAATGAATCGTAGCAAATTAGTTAATAATTGTTGGATTTTCATCAATTACATATTTTGACTCCAGTGAATTGAATGCAATTAAGTTACAAATGATGGTAATTATCTGGTGCAAAGATTGATCTATGAGATATAAACTAATTCATTGACACTGACAAGGTACAGCTGATGAAGACAGAGAATTTCTGTTGTGTTTGATAAAATACAAAAGCCTAACAATACCTTGAGATAATAAAACATATGCTATTTTTAGTAAAATATTCTGTTATAAATATAGAGACCTGTATTTTAATTTGAAAGTTTATATATTTGTAAGTTTCTTTCTTTCTAATCTGTGATCTTTTGAAAAGTAGCATCTAACATACTAAACTCAATATACACATAGTCTCCTATTATTAGCATTCCAGTTTATCAACAAAACTGTCCTTAGGTCTTATGTTTCTGTTTCATAGACTAACATTTTTATCAAGCTTAGAGCTCTAGGTCATAAACAGGTAAAACTCTGGTTGGTACCATTGAATTATTAGTATAAAAATACTAATTGAATTTTTAATTATATTACATATAATTATCTGGCAAAGAAAGTGCAGAGTCAGCTTTCTCAGTAATTTCCATTTTATAAGTATGTGTATTGTAATTATTACGACTACAGCCAGTAGTTGTCTCTTTCTAATATCAACCTTAGATAATTATCTGAGGTCACGTTCATAGAGGAAACCTCACCTGAAAGTCAACAAAGAAGCAGTTATAACTAGAATTTACTTGCCAAAACTTAAAAAGAAATTCACAAACTCACAAAGTAACTGAGTAATTTCAGGTCCATTTTATATAGCCCTACATGTTGATAGGACTGTATGTTTAGAATGGGCTTTAAGTGTAGTTTATATGACTTGATTTGATATCAGCTGGAAGGTTTTGATTTGATAGTTCAGATCTTCATTAGGTGGTGTTTTCTGAAACACATTTTATCTAAAATAATTTGAAGCTTCATTTTGTTTCATTCTATGGGTTCACTTCTCTGACTAAGAACACAGATCTCCAGATGAAAAAGCTGTTAGATAATTGTACAACAGCATTTTTAAGGGGTGTTTAAGGTGTAAAATTAGTACCTCAGCTTGACACCATTTCCTGTGACTCTTCTGGCTGGGGGCATCTTTTAGCTGTCAGATCAGTTTCAAGCATGATGTGAAAATGAGGAGTAGGCTGTTGCAAGCCCCAGCCTGGCAGAGTTGGGGTTAGCTGAGAAGCAGTGCTGCCGTGCCCTGGCCTCTGCTCGTGCCCATGCTCTGCTATCATCCACACACATACTCAGAACACTGCAGGCAGAAGGTCTTTACCAGGTGGGAAACAGGGATCATCGCAATGTTGTGAATAGGTGGCTATACCTGATGGCAGCAGGATGAACCCCAGAAAGGTCAATAGGAAAAATGAAGAAACACCATTAGTAATAATGAATGTTCTCAGCTGTCTCTTGGCTAAAGGAAGTACTTAAGGAGTGAAGTGAGGAGTTGTTTAATCTCTGTGGGGCAGCTGTTTTGTGGCAGAAATTTGAGTTCATTAAAAAGAGAAACAATGCTGTAGGTGTGAGATAATACAGTGTGAATCACAGCAAGGTAAAAAGGTGGTCAAATCACATTATTTTCACAAGTCACAAACAAATTCTATTGCTGAAAAGAATATATAATATATAGGTGATTCTTGTTGAGTTACTTAAATTTCTTCAACAGAAAATAACCAAAGAATGGCATCACAGCAATTGTTAATGAAATGAATTACTGGTTTGTTCGTTTAGAATTAGAAATTTCACAGATACTGTTATACACTGGAAATTTGCTTTGTGTTTTGTGTCTCATGAAGAATACTTAGGCATGAAGTCTCCTCTTAAATCCTTCCCTATACATTGAAGCGGTTTCTGGAATTTCATATTTTCAACTACATAACCTCACAAAGTTTGATCTATCAAAATTTGTCTTTTATACACTGGACCTTTTGGGATGAAAGCAGCACTTGTAATACCGCAATAGTTCATAGACTGTCATTCTTTTCAGTATAAACTCATTTTCTAGGGGTTTATAACTCAGCTATGAAATCTGCTGCAGACTGAAACTTGAGAAACCAGATGTCATCTGAGAAACCCTTCTTTGAACTGGAATTGGGCTTAAATCCCTTTAATGGATTTTATCATGGAAGAGAAAAAATGTTTTGTAGGTTTTAGGTACATTAATTGAAGCCTCATATAATTCAATTAAGAAATTCATTAAGAACTTTGAAATAGATAAGCTGTTCAATCATGCTTTGAATTGAAATTTATAAATACAGCAAGAAATGTCTTGCAGAAGACTGTAGCACTGTTTTGATAAATTCTAAAGTAGGAGGCTTGTCTAGGGCTTTGCAGGTTGGTTTTTTTTAAGTTTTTTTTTCAAATTTTATTTTTTCCATTAAGTTTGCTGGTGGTTTAAACTAATCCAGAAGTGCATTCTTTTTTCTGATTAAATGTAAATGTATTTTCAGTTTTAAAGCTGGTGGATATATAGTCATAAAACACAAGAGCAAAAACAGGTAGTCTTCTTTTTGTAGTTCTTAAAACTTTCCAGTGAACATTAGCCCAACTGGGTGACTACAGTGAGATAATATTAGCGGGGAAAATGTATGTTTATAGGAAATATAATATATTCCCTATAATGATTATATACTCCCCAAGGCCAGACAAAGTCCATCTGTGGCTGCAAGATAGTAATAAAAATGACCACAAGTTCAGGCAGGGAAATGGTGACTTCAGACTGTGTTATTCAGAAGCTACTCTGGGAGGCCCCACAACATTTGGCCAGATGTTTTACATTAACTTAAAAAAGAATTAAAAAAATATAATTAAAGAAAGCATGTGACTGTATGGGAGCTCCATATACTGTTAACTTCTCATTCCTAAAGGCATACCTCAAAAAAAAAGATCTGCCTTTGCTACAGGTCTCTAAAAAGCCCCTTTATGTGAGCAAAACAAATTATCTCTAACAAAGAGTGTACTCATGGGGTTCTTTTACTTATGAAAACAACATAGCAAGCTCATTCTGCTAAGTGTGTTGTGTGTGTTTTTTATATTTTCACTTATATTATTTTGTAGGTAATTTTTGGTTTCATAGATTTGGTGAGGTTTCATTAGGTTTGATTTAGTCTGGCCTTTAGGTGACTGGCTAAATCACTGTCAATTTACTCTGAATATTGAACACTCTGGATCTGAAATTAGGGGGATGTTAATTAGCTGTAATTGGTCACAGAGATGGCAGGGAATTTTGAAAGCTCTATTAGCCCATTAGCAAATATGGATTCATGGGCAGTCAATCTAAAGGACTAAAATAATCTTAAATTATTGAGTTGCATTTACCAATTAAAATGTGTAATCTAGTTATGTGTACAAGAAATGCATGAAATACATTCATGAGCTATGGAGCCAGTTAAAAAGGTGTGTTTTCTAACACAAAGGATGGAAGTAATGAACTGTTGCAAGGTACACATATAACAAAAATTAAATTTTATTCATTTCTGAAAATATTGAAAATATATGGGATCCTTAAATGTGGCATACTACTTACTCCATAATAGCACACTGTGTACTGCATGAGATTTGTAGTTTCTTCTCTCACATTTTTGAAATGCATGTCATCTTCTTACCGCGTTAGAAATATTTCAGTCATGTCCAGAGTTGTACAATACAGCATGATAGGAATGCAAGCTTTCATTTGATTCCTCAACGAAATGAGCATAATGCACTAAAGCACAACATTGCAAAATTTAATTTCCTTTTTCTGGGTAGATAGAACAGAGGTGAAACTTTCAGTACAGATCTAATTCTTCTCATACTTTCCTCAAAATCCACTGCTAAAGCTAAAGCTGATTTGCAGATTCTATCCCTGCCCTAACTTCTGAATAAACTGACACATAATTGCCCATTTATTTCGTAATCACCCAGGAAGCAAAGCTTTACACGTGCAACCTGTGACACGTGGTCCCCCTGTTATGATATATTTCATATCACAACCAGCACCTCCTGGGTAATACAGAGTGGTATAGAATTTACAGCCATCATGTTCTGGATGTGTAAAATTATGCAAAACTATATCTTAAATCTTTCTACGAGCAGAGCTTGAACCCTAAGACTCCCTCAGCCTCCCTCAGTTCTTTAAGCTACTTTACAAATTCTGAATAAAGATGGCCAGCAAAATGTAATTTACCACATGTACTTTAGGATGAAACTAAACATCTCTTTTTCATATCTTTCTGGGACAAATTTCATCTTATATAAATTGTCAAAAATTCTCAAACTTGATAGTTTATTTATAAAAGAATGTGAAACCATAGCGATCAGGAAACAAAACCTAAGGGTTGGCACTGTAATCACAGAGGCTGGCCTGGAGTTCATACTGATAAATTAAAATAATATATAAGAGCTAAAATACATATACTTTGTGTCTTTTGGAATTGTTTGCATTTCAGTTAATGAGAGTAAAATTGTTAATTATTGAAGGAAAGGAATGCTCAGGTTCAAGTTTAGGGTACTTCCTACTCAGCTCACATGTAGTGTTTTCACTGAGCTCCGTGGATCTCTGCGTACTCTTGGCAACATAAGCTAGGGCATTTCACTCCCTGTATTTTCCAGAGGTTAGCAGCTCCTTAGTGTAATCAGGGGGAAAAAAATCCACGTCTATTCCTCAGCCACACATTTCTCTGACTGGTTTACCAGGTCAGCCTGCCCTGCTTTCTGCTGCACTCCCTCCTGCGTGGTGCAGTCGCTGCTGTGGGGACGGTCATTTCTGGCACAGAAACGTAGCAGAAGTCCCTGTGGGAGCCCATAGATCAGAATCCTCTGTCACAGCTTTGTAAGTGCCCTTCAGAAATCTGCAGGCTGCTCCTCGGTCACCCTCCTGTCTCCTCTAGGCTGAGTTCAACTCTCCCAGCCTGCCTCATTATATGCTATGCATACTTCCTCAACTTGAACGTCATGGAACTTCAGGTAGAGAAATGGGAAAGAAATTGAATGCACTGGCTTATGAAAGGCAAGTGTTCTTTGAGGAAAAATGTACTGAATTTTCTCTGTTTTATGGAGTTAAAAAGCACACAGCTGAATACAATTTATTTGGCATCTTTCATTTGCATTTGAAAACTAGGAAATTAATTATGCTTGCAAAACTAAATATACAGTCCTGAATATAGCTATTTTCTCTTTTTATGTAGGTCTGGTTTTTCAAAGAACAATATCAAAACCAAGACAAAAAGATTACTGGGTTTTGGATTTAAGGAGCCACTTAGACATATGCTTCAAATTCTACTTTCTATAAGAAAAGGAGACATTACTTCCACTGTAGGCAAGCTGTCCAAAAGTGAAAATCATTCTTGTATCAATAATGCCAGCTACGTGATTCTATGTAAAATCCTCAGCTATTTCCATGGAATTTTTACAAATCAATGGGTTTAACTCAAAAAAAACCCAGTAAGAAATCAGGAGTGAAAAGCTAGGGGTTATGATGACAGCTATGCAACTATTCCTATATGTATATAAACACAGAAAAGAGTCTAATAAATCCTAGTCTAAAGAAGTACAGCAGTTCCTTCTCTTAATGTTTGACCAAGATCTGATTTGAATGCTGGCTTAATTAATCACTTAGGAACAGAAATATTGCTGGGAAGGAAAAGAAACAAACACATGAACTCAAAATAGTAAAGTATCATTTCTCAGAGACCTTCACAAAATAAAAACTCACCCTACAGATTAAATTTTACATTGTTTAATTTCTAAATCGTGGTCTGAAAACGGCAGTTTCCATCAACACTAGTGAGATTTAAGTTCATTTAACCAATACAATGTGAACAGAATTCCATCTGCTTGGAAAGTTTCCTTCAGACTCTGGTAAAAATATGGATTCTTATTATTTAGCATTACCCTGACTTGTTTATTAAGCACGTGTGACCTGACAACCAATTCAGAAATTTCTGAGTTTAAGAGTTTAGTCTGAGTTGTGCCCTAGCTCTTGAGTGTTCATTGAAAACATATTAAGAACTTGATTAACTGACTGACTGATTAATATTTAATATGGAAAAATGAAGCTGAATATGACAATTTCTGTTTCTTGGTTTTTCTCTTTGTTGTAGCATCGAGTGTTTGGTATACAAACAAAAAATCTGATGCTTCTTTTGGAAGGATCTCTCAAAAATAACTTTATGTTTTCCTGGTACTCCAGAGATGTTCTTCTGAAAACAAAGATGAGAAAAAATTTAGGAAAAGTTTTGTGGTACATTTTCTCCACCTTTCAAGCTCTGTGATGTCTATTGATCCAGGATTTGTTGGTTTCTTTCAAGATCTATATGTGTTTCAAAACCTTTCTAAGTAAATCTTGAAGTAAATATTGATATATAGCAGGACAAAAAAAAATAAAAATCTATGAATTTATCAGTAAACTAATTAAGTCCAGGAAATTTACTCCAAAACATCAACTCAATTTCTTTTGAATTAAAAGGCTAAGTCCAAATTTCAATTCCTAGTTAATTATTGTGACAGATGCAATAACTTTAGAGCTGGTGTTCTCATTTAAGGAAGACAAGGACCCTAATTATTTGTTTCCTGGTTCACATGCATGTTTGCCAACAGTTAATGTCTGTTCACCTCACAAAGATTTTACTACTGAAATCTTACTGAACACTACATACCCTTTACAACCATTATATATATAACTGCCAGATGAAAAGCAGAAATATTCTATTTCTTTCTATTTTCCATTCTTTTTTTCTCTTGCTCTATTAGAATCACAGTCCTTGTACCACCCACAGCATTTTCATCTTTGCCCACCGTAATCAATACATAACCTAAAGCTTGATTTTGTTCATTTATCTAGCCAAGTCTTAAAATTAGGTTAGAGTTATTGGCTTATTGAAAACTAGGGCTGGTCTTAGCTCATATTGTGAATCTGGTCCTCTTTACTTATGATTTTTGATGATCAGTTTATGGGTTATCATGTTATTTTTTTTCTGATCATTGAAGTGTGTAAGCAGATATCAGAATGCTCAAGGCATCTATTAAAGACTTTATATTTCTGAAAATAGGAATTAATACTAATTTTGTTTTTCTAGGAAAAAAAAATATATAGAAAATGGAAAAACAGAAATCTGACCTTACATGCTCATATACATTTTACATTACTGTCAATATATTCATTTTCCAGGATGAGAATGGGCTGCAAAATGGAGAGACTTCAATTATAAAGGTGTATGAGGTGTAAACTAATGTGTTCTGACATTTCTCACAATATCTTCTCTGTTGGTAAACTCAGCAGAGACACTGTGCTGTCCCCAAGGAGTTGAGACACAGGCATATGTACGTAATAGACGCTGCTTAATAAATTTTTAAATCTGAGTATACAAGGTGTCAAATAGAATATGCTGAGTTTTACCTGCTAAGTCTTTGTAATCCACCAAGTCAAACATTACAATAGCTACTGCTGACCAGGTAACAATCAGAGCAACAACAAGAAGCCATGCTGCTGGTGAGCTGAACGTTGTCACGAGGTCTTCTGTCACTGATTTCTTGCCCACTTTCATGGATGACGAAGGAACAGATCCGTTCTTACCATCTATTATCGTCGTGGTTGTTGACATGTGTCCTAGACAGACAAAACAGAGGAAAACGATGTGACAACCTGGAGCCTTAAAGCCAAGAATGTAAATGCTGTTTTGAAATTTTTTGTCGTCAGAATGTTTAAAATAAATATAAATGTTGTATTACTAAAAAAAGGTTCTTGCACTTTCTGGAAGAAATAGTCACAACCAGCCTTTTTTATTACAATATGACATTTTTTAGTCTGCCACAAATAGCTACAGGCCTAGGAGAGTGATTGATGAAAGCATAAAATATTATTACCCTCCAAAGGATTGTCTTGTTACGGGCTGTAGGCCAGATTCTCAGGTGATGTGATTAAGTGAACTTCCATTGACTTTAATGGAGCTAATGCATCTATGCCACTTGAGGTTTGGCTGGAATTCTGCTGTGAAGGACGTGTATCAGTAGCAATGGAAATAGATTTACTTCATTTCATCTAACAGAAACACAAATGATTTCCATGTCCAGAATCCTTAAAAGCTGTGAATAAGATTGCAGCTGATTTTTAAATAACTTTGTTTGTGGAATTTTTCACTTAATGAAGTAATCTGCTAAGAAACAAGAGTTACAATGTCCAAACAGACTTGATTCCAGAAAATATAGGTTTGGTAATAAAAGGCTGGTAGGAAGTTGAATGCTACTTAGCTAAGTGACCAGCTGACACATGGGAACTATGTAGTGGACAGTAACAGTATTGACTTAACCTACTTCTTCCTGAGCTATTAAAAATGCTAGTTCTGGACACAAACACTAATTCTGGACACAAATCAAAACTATGGTAACTGAAAACTAATCGTGTTTGAAAGTTCTCAACTTAATTGGCTTCATAGAATATGTTTTGATAACCTAAACAATCTAGGGAGGTATTTTTTCTCCATTGAATACAATAATGGTAAAAGAATTCCTAACACCACAGTTGAAACTAGTAGAAGACTATGGTATTTCCACAGAGTTTGGAATATGTTCTTGTATGCTGCAGTTAAAATCTCAAAGATATATTGCACATGTTCTTGGTCTGGTTGTTCACACCAGTTTGTAAAAATTAATTTTAGTGATTTAAGGGACCCTTGCCCACACAGATTTCTAAAATTTCAAGGGATCAGGTGTCTGCTGGTTTGCGTAAATCTTTGCTTTTCACTTGTCTTCTGTCACAGTTGATGCAAACTATAAAACTGATATTTTCTGTATGACAGAGTTGTTGTATATGAAGGCAAGCAGATTGAATTTCACTTTTGACATAGAAAATGACAAATAGACACTGATTTACTTTTGCTGTAATTACGGTACAGGCTGTTGAAGACTTTCCAACATTTGCCATCACAACTTGTACTTAGACTCTCTTTGAAAATGACAACATTTATATTCTTAAATAAATAAATGAAGAAAGGATAAAATCATTAATATTACCCATAGATACACAAATACATTTTTCATTCCTATTTTACCCTAACAAATCTTACAATCCTTGTGCTAATGAATATTGGATTTTATCCTTTCCTGTAGAATGTTAAAAGAAAATACAAAAGTGATACTGAAATGGCCCTTTTATGTATCTGACAAAAACATATAAAATTGGGAAGGGCAATTTTTGTGGAAGAGGTTCCCTAATTCCCAATCTGTCATACCTGTTGAGTTTTAAAATTCATGCCTTAATCTGTTCTAGAATTCTTTTTTTTAAAATTTTCCTATGCAGTGCATTGTCTTAATGAGTAGTTTCCTTAGCTCTGCCTTTTAATTTTGCTTCTGCACATGTATCTTGTGCTGCTCAATGCCTTGCTTCAAGCCCTGAAAAACTGCTCTGCTACACAAGAGTTGTAAAAGCAAAAAAACATTGGCATATTACATTTTTTTTGTTACTTATTTGAAATTTATTCTTATTTCTAGAATATTTATTCTGCATATAAACAAGTTATCTTCTAAGATAGAATGTATATATTTTTTGAAATATATTATAATACCATCACTGCTTCCATTTCTCCAAACAAAGATTTTAGATCAAGCAATCACAGCAGGAGGAAAAATCTGCCAAGTGACAACTAACAATAAAGATCAACTTCTTAAGTCAAATTCAAAATCAACAGCATTTTGTAATTCTACTGCATACAAGATGCAAGTAATTTGTGCATGTAACAGGTCATAAATGACACATTATGCATTTTTTTCCCCTTGGGGATATCAGTCAGAGTTTATGATGTGTAAGAGAGAATAGAAAGGTACTGTCTCATCTTGACAAATCTGATTAGTACCACAGCATGTCTTCAAGGACATCCTAGTGGCAGATATTTGCAGTTATAATACAAACAATTAAAACTCTATGTGTGAATACAAATATAGACTTAAAATTACTAGTCAAAGCATCAGTCCTCTAGGTCTGTTGCTATGTAAAAATATTTCCTTACTATTTAGCATACCTAACTTTTCAAACTCAGACCAATACGTCTTCTTTGGTGAAGAAAATAGTAACTGATGATTTATCAGTCAGATAAATCAGCATCAGTCTGAGCAATGCTGCAGAGACAGAGCTAAAGTATGCTAGAAGGTTATCTATGGCAAGCTTTTTGCTGTTGATGTAGTCAAGTCAGATTTCCCCTTAAAAACTCAGGATGTTATGCAATAAAATTGCTGTCGTTGCATTTATTAAAATGTGAGTGAACAGCTATTGATTCAAATTTGACTGGAAGTCAAGCTAGGAAAATACTGTTATATTGTTGGGTGTTCCTGATACAGGTGCTTGCAGTGTGATTCAGGGACCTAAGAAACATCTCCAGTGTTGTTTGAAATGCTTTACATACATCATAGACATCCTCACAGAACTGGCAGGCAAAATCTACAGGACAGTTACTTTGGAAATGCCTAAAAAAATACCCAGACAGGATGTACTAAAGCAAATAGAAATTAGATTTTTATGTCCCTAGATACCTATATAAACAAAATTGGATGGAGGATTTGATCTGACGACTCCTGAGAAAGACATTGTTTGCTGCTATGTAATCTCAAGCAGGATGGACTGTATATTGATACCATCATCATTTCATGACTCCGAAATGAAGAGGCAGCAACACTGAGATGATCTCACTCTTCCTCCAAACATTCTATTATTGTAGTATCCAAGTGCTATACTCATGCTTTTCTCTGCCTGTTTCTTGCTTTTGGGTTTCTAGGTGCTCTGTTCATTTTTGTGCACCTCCTACCAGTGCTAACTTTCCCTGCAAACCATCAGTGATGGTATTTACAGAGCTAGACAACAGAAAAGAGGGGATATATTTACAATGCTTCCATCGCATCAGCGAGCAGTGATGCTTTTTCTCAGAAAAGTGCCAAAGTTGGGCAGAACTCCTGCCCAAGTGAGGCTTCAGGTGCCCAGTGGGAGTCTAAGAAAGACAGGCATTTTTGTTGCTTTGAAATCACATGACGGAGCCTATTGAGCTCTACATTTACAACTAGCAGAAGTCATTCAGCAGCACGCTAAAATCAGATTGCTGAACTTTTCTAGGTATCCTTACCATCCATACAGTAAATATTTTCTCTCTCAAGGCAAATTTCTGTGTCCATATTACAGCCAGCCTGAATCCAAGTCAGTTTACTTTCGATGAGCACTGCAGTGGGTCAGGAGATTCATGAGCAGATCAGTTGTCCCTGCTTTGGGAGAGGCAACATCCATCACAGGGGTGGAGGGTGCAGCTGAAGGCTGCTACAATTTCAGCCATCCAATTTTAATCCACCGCCACATGTCTGCGAGAGCCTCTTGGCACTTTGGGCTGTGATTGCTATTGATTTTCAATGAGGATGGGAACTTAAAAAAGTTATATATACATTTCTATAAAAAGATTACTCCAGGGATGTATACTTCTGACTGCACATCACAATTTCTCATGCACACAGGACTAGCCTATCAGGTCGCAAATGTCACCTTTACAGAAACAGATTGATTTCCTAAATTCCAAACAGCTAACACTCAGAGATTCTTACTATTCCTCTGGTTTCAGAGTTGTCACTTAGCATACAATCTGAAGACCCATAAGGTCTAGCAAGTATGAATAAACCTTGACAATTGGTGACAACTTTGAGGAGAACACCATGTGACTTTCAGAGTCCAGAGAGCCTGTAGTCCTGGCAGCCTAGGTAAAATACCCTTTGTATTTGTGTGCTGAGGCATTATCTCCTTAAAACTTACTAAGCATAGGAGTCCATGGTTAAGGATGGGTACTTGATTTTACAGTTCAACCGCTACACCTTCTACTCTTGTAGAAAAATGAAACGAAACAAAACTAAATAAATAAACCAAATAAAGCAAATAAATAAACCTATTCCACTCAGACTCATTGAGGTATAAAAGAGTAATTTTCTGTATTTATGTTACTTCATAACTATTTTATGTATAACAGTCTTATTCTGCCAACAGGAAAAAGATAAGTGAAATATTTAGTGTGCAATGCCATTTTAAGGCTAGGCATATTATAAGCAGAGGGCTAGCCACGATACTAAAAAAGAGGTTGTTCACTTTTAAATGATAATATTGTTGCTAGGGCAATGCAGTTGGGATGTGAGAAACCTCAGTGCAGTCTACTCTAAATGAGAGAGCTGTTAGATTTTGACATTAATGGCTCCTGTTTGACCTATTCCACTTCACTTGGAATACTTAAATACTAATTAAGGAAGCAAGAAAGAGAAAAAATGGCTGTATAAATGGACACTGTATGTTAAGCTCCAGCTCAAGCCTTGGGCTTTAACCTGTGACCTTATCAATCCTCCACTGCTGTAATCGGATGGGCAGGAGTCTCAGCCTGATGTAAGTAGGGTACCGCAGGGAGAAGAGGACAAGGGATTAGAACCCTTCAGTGAAGAATTGGGAAATGGATATCAGATAATCTGCTGCATTTTTTTCAAGATCAGCACATCAGCCTCAGTGAGTCCACAGACCTGAAGGCATCGCAATAATCACTTTTTTCCCCATGTGGGGAAAATTATTTCTACCACAAGAAAGGATTACACCTACACCTGTTG